GCAGTTATTTGGTGTTGGTCAAAAGAAGAGGCTTGAACATATTCTTTGATAGCTTCAGGGTTCTTTTTTCCACAAAGCTTTTTGATTCTTTTGGTCCAATTTAAACTAGATTTATCATAAATATGATAAGGATTAATTAACTAAGAATTGGTTTCAGAAACTTTTTCGGGGTATAGGTTATTTCTAAAAGACGATCTTGTTTTGAAAACATAAGACGGAAATTTATACTAGAAGAAGGAGTACTATCTAAAGTTATTTCTGAAACAGTGTCCTTTGACATTTTAAATCTGTTTTTTAAAATAATTTACTATATTGACTGTAAATTTTAAAATAAAGGTAAGGCCAACTTTCTTTTTCTGTTAACAAAATATGAACTCCTTCTACAACCTTCTTGCCTTCAACAGAGTTCCTGTTATGTTAACCTTAAGAAAGTATTGACAGCGGAATAACATCAACACTCGAAATCAACCTTTAGTTCATACCACGTTTTCTGATGCGAAAGATCGTAGACCAGCTAGGCAGACGCAGAGCATACTAATCTCAGTATGAGCTCTAGATTAACCCAGCCAATATAATAAATTTTACTGATTGTAATCTCAATTTAACATGGCACAATGCTCTGATACCATTATAGATATGCATACAAGAAAATAGACAAGAAAATTGAATAGGATAGAATAACTGAGCATAATGAAGGATAAATAAACAAACCAGAATGAAAAATCTATTAAGATCAGAGCATACTTAAAAGCAAAAAAGGGTATATCCTTCTTTGCCATGAAATAAAGGGAAAGCAATGCATATATAAACAATCAATTTTGGGTAGTCTTCTCTGTGCAAAACAATCCATATAAGCCCTCAATCATAAGGCAAGCTCTCTGGTGCAGTCACTTTGCTTTTACAACTCAAAGAGGATTATCATAAACAACTTGACATCCATGAACAGTCAACTCGTCCATATCGCCATTGATGGGTGAGGACATAACCGTAAATAGCATAAAGGTGCGTGCCCCAAATGAGAGTTCCAACACCAACGACATCCACATGCAGCGGACGGTTAACATCCTGATCAATAACACGAGCATAAAGACAAGAGATGATTGTATTTGGATCGGGCTGGGGACCTGAAACCTGTGGATCGAACGAGTAGCCTGTGGCCATGGACAGGCATAAGGTAACTGATTGTTTTTTGGGAACATAAAGTATGATAATATGATCATGGGAACAACATGGCCATGACGGTCATCACCTTCCAGTAATGATAGTAAAGTGATGAAGAGTAGGTTATAGAATTAACTTGTGTACCAACTCTCCCCCCATCACCTTCCAACCTCATTATGGGACGGTGATGGCACTTATGGCCATGTTGTTATCATGATCATATTGATTTTCTTTGTGATTGTATTGAGTATATTGGCATTTTTTATTTTTTTTCTTCTCTTTGAGGTTTCTTCTTATTCTCATGATTTTTTTCTTTTAATGAGTGTCTTATATTTCGACGTAGAGTGCATATATCTTGTTCCTGTGGCGCATATTGCACATTTGCACCCTCATGCAAAAAACTACACAATAGGATTTTCTCAATCTGGAATTTCAGAATTCAATTTATAATCACCAGACTATTATTTCTCAAAAAATTGGATGGTCTCCTTTTAATATTAGGACGTCACTTTTTTCTAGCACATATACAGCGCCTTATTAAGCTTTTTTTCTTTTCTAAAGTTGGTCACCAAATTTGAGGTACAAAAATACTCTTCTAAAGTTGGTCACCAAATTTGAGGTACAAAAATACTCTTAGATAGGATTTATCTCGAGAGAGTGAATGCACAATATGCATTGAAGGGTGCATATAATCTTCCAGCTTCTTCTTACCATTGGTATGCATATATGCAGATGACATTGTTTTGATCGATCAGTAATATGTTAACAATTGTAAGTACCAGCATTGGAAGCCTCGCACAGGATTTGTATGAAGCAGGAGTGGAGAATGTGACAGTGAAGAATGTGGTATTGAATTGTGCACAACTGGACTAAGGATAGAGAGCCATGGATATGTGAGAGGAGTTGCATTTGACAATGCATTGATGATGAATGTGAAAAACCCCAACATCATAGACCAAGAGTACTGCCCTCATGGCTTAAATTGCCCTAATCAGGTATTATTCTTATTTCTCTATAGTAGGTTTTGCTAGCTTAGATTCAATCCTTTTCCCTTTACTTTTTAGTTTGAAATAAAGATTGAATTTAAATATGAGATAGACCCAAGCACCGTTTGTTTTTTTGGGTAATTCAATGGGGATGACGAGCCCCTACTTGTTTTTGAAATTGTTAGAGAATTTTGAAAGTGTTAGGTGAGAATGGAAGCCTAGACCTTATCTAGGGCACATGTGGTGCTATCATCACGACCCCAACCCCAACCCATTCTCAGGCCCATGCACCTTTGCAATAAAAATAATGTATGGGAGCACATTTGGTTTCTAGTAATCCACCAAACTTGTTGGAGGTCAAATTAATTTATATCAACATCGTAAGCCAATGTACTTTTTGGTTGAATTTAGGCCAATGTAATTTCTTGGGGTAATTCAGTGGGGATGATATTCCTACTTGTTTTTTAATTAGTTAGTCGTATTTGAAGCTGTCAGTGGGAATGGACACTATAATGTGCAACTGAGTTACGAGGTGTGCTACCACCATGACCTCAACCCCTTTTTTATGCCAATGTATTTATACTATAATGTAAATCACTTTCAAAAGTAAGGGTTCGTAGTCCCCAAATCTTTTAGAAACAAATGTCTCATCCAGGCAATCAAAATATAAAGAAAAAGAAAAGAATTGAATTCACACAAAAAAACACAGAAACTGACCCTGCCCTTTTATGTGAATCCATTTTTTTGCATGCTGGGCGGTGGATCTTGAGCTTCAAAAACTCAAAAGGGAGCATTTTTTTAAAAATTATTTATTCATCATACTAATGATGTTAAGTAAAATTTTATCCCACAAAAATCCCTCTGTGTTTTGGAGCTTAATTTGTGTTGTAACTACTTCTGCATTGTCATGAAATTTGTTCCCTAATTTGATTGGTTATTGCAGGGAGCTTAATTTGTGTTGTAACTACTTCTGCATTGTCATGGAATTTGTTGCCTAATTTGATTGGTTATTGCAGGGTTCTGGAGTGGAGATAAGTGAGGTGACATATAAGGAACATCTGCTTGAAAAGTAGTAGTCACATTTAACTGTAGTCCTACAACTCCAGGCCAAGGTATAAGTATGGAGAATGTTCAGCTTACTTACATGAACCAGCTGGCTCAAGCCTCATGCACCCATGTACAGGGGACCTCTACTGGTGTACTTAATCCACCAAGTTGCTTGTGAAAACATCAATTCTTTTTTCATGTAATTATATCAATTCATTTCAATTGAAAATTTGTTTCATAGTTACCCTTCACTACAATATCTCCCTCTCCCTTTCTCTCTCTCCATTGAGACCATTGACATTTTGTATAATATTATGGACCTTTTTCTTTAGAAACCTCAAAACTATCACTACCATATATGGATCTTAGAAAGGAAAATATTTTGACAGGGTTGCCTATTAAAACAAGTAAAATGTCACCTCAAAACTCATCGAAAATTATAGTTTTGACGTCAGAAAACTTTCAAATCAATAATCTCGGCCTCGAATATTATGATTCTAAAATTAATTTAGAATTTCAAGCCCTAAAAATAGTGTGCATTATAACAAATTATCTAGATAAAATAAGTTTGAGAATGTCCATTTTTTGAGGTTGAGTATCGTTTAATTGAAGAAGTTTTGCACGGGTGCACAACGTTCATCATAAGTCTGGGCAACACACTTACATTTTACACATAAATAGTGCACATTGAGTAATTTATGTTGTGCACGGTGCATAATACACAAGTCTGAGTACTGAGTGCACTTATGCATTGCTTCATGCACATGTGTTTTGAGGAACATAGTGCAAATTTTTCGGTGCGCGGGTGCACAATGCTCATTATAAGTACGGGCAACATTGCTACACTTTACCAATACGTAGTGCACATTGAGCAATTAAAAGTAACATTACAATGCATTTAATGCCACAATATAAAAATGTGTGCTTGGAGTGAAACAAGTATAAATTAAAATGCTCCCGTGGAGCAAGCTATATACTTAATCCAAATAAAAAATCCTCACTTATAACTATTTTATAGAATTAAAATTTAAATAATTTCTTTTGAGTATTCAAATTTTAAATCTATAAAATACTTATAAGTGAGTTTTTTTTATTGGGATTAAGTATATAGCTTGCTCATTGTGAGCATTTTAATTTATATTTGTTTCACTCCAAGCACACTTTTTTGCATTGTGGCATTAAATGCATCATAAAGTTACTTTGCTCAATGTGCACTACACGAGTGCAAAGTGTAGCAATGTTGCCCGCATTTATAATGACCATTGTGCACCCGCGTACCGTGTAATTTACACTATGTTCCTCAAAACACATGTGCATGAAGTACTGCATAAGTGTACTTAGGACTCAGCTTTGTGTATTGTACACCGCGCACAGCACAAATCACTCAATGTGCACTATTCATGTGCAAAATGTAAGTGAGTTGCTCGGACTTATGATGAGCGTTGTGTACCCGTGCAAAATTTCCTCAACTATATGATACTCAACCTCAAAAAATGAAAATTCTCAAACTTATTTTATGTAGATAATGTGTTATAATGCACATTATTTTTAGGGCTTGAAATTCTAAATTTTTTTTAGAATCATAATACTTGAGGCCGAGATTCTTGATTTGCAAGTTTTGACGCCAGAACTACAATTTTCAATGAGTTTTGAGCTGAAACTTTACTTATTTTGATAGGGTTGCAGCCCAGTCAAAATATTTTCCTTTCTAGGATCCATATATGGTAGTGATAGTTTTGAGGTTTCTAAAAGGAAATAGCCATAATATTATACAAAATGTCAATGGTCTCAATAGAGAGAGAGAGATTGTAGTGAAGGGTTACTAAGAAACAAATTTTCAATTGCATTGAATGGATATAATTACATGAACAAAGAATTGATGTTTTCACAAGCAACTTGGTGGATTAAGTACACCAGTAGAGGTCCCCTGTACATGGGTGCATGAGGCTTGAGCCAGCTGGTTCATGTAAGTAAGCTGAACATTCTCCATCATAGCTCGGTATGGAGTTGTAGGACTACAGTTACTGTGACTGTTATTTTTGAAGCAGATGTTCCTTTAATGTTCCTATATGTCTCCTCACTTATCTCCACACCAGAATCCTGCAACAACCAATCAAATTAGCAAACAAATTCCATAACAAATGCAGATATTGTTACAACACAAATTAGGCTCCAAAACACAGATGGATTTTTGTGGCCTAAAATTTTACTTAACATCATTAGTATGATGCATAAATAATTTCAAAAAAATATTTCCTTTTGAGTTTTTGAAGGTCTAGATCCACCGCCCACCAAACGGAAAGATGAATTCACATAAAATGGCAAAGTCAGTTTATGTGTTTTTTTATGTGAATTCAATTCTTTTCTTTTTCTTTATATTTTGATTGCCTAGATCGGACATATATTCTTGGAAGATTTGGGGACAAGGAACCCTTACTTTTTGAAAGGGATTTATGCTATAGTATAAATCCATTGGTCGAGGAAAGGGATTGAGGTTGTGGTGGTAGCATACCTTGTACCTCAGTTGCACATTGTGACTTCCATTTCCATTGACAGCTTCCAATACTATTAACTAATTAAAAAACAGGTAGAGGCATGTCATCCCCACTGAATTACCTCAAAAAAATACATTGGCCTAAACTCAACCAAAAAGTACATTGGCTTGCAATATTGATATAAATTAATTTGACCACCAACAAGTTGGGTGGAGTACTAGAAACCAAATGTGCTCCATGAATTATTTCTATTGTAAATGTGCTTGGCCCTGATAATGGGGCTGGGGTTGTGGTGGTAAGCACTACATGTGCCCCTAGCTAAGGTCTAAGCTTCTATTATCACTTTAACATTTTAAAAAACCATTAACAATTTAAAAACGAGTAGGGGCTCCTTCTCCTCATTGAAAATTACATCCAACAACAAAAAAGGTCATATTAAAAAATAAGTATAGATATAGCGACGTATCATAAATTTATTTCATAAATTTATAATAGTAAGTTATATTCACGATTTTGATTATTATATAAAAATTAATAATGAATGAATTTGATTATAATAATAAAATGGCAAGTTAAAGGAAATATTATTGTATATGGGAAAGCTTTTTATGTTCTCCTACAATGTAGAACTTCTATCCTCCCCCACTTTTTCAATCATTGATTTAAAATAGAGGGCTAATCATTGATTTAAAATGGAGGGCTGACATCTATTCCCTGAAGTTGTTGCAAAATGAGATGTACCGGATGTAACCATTTGAAAGAAGTCTGTAGTAGAAAGAGAGAGTAGCCCATTCATAGGGAGAGAGAAAAGCGCGGGAGAAGAAGGGGAGGTTTCTTAGAGGAAAGAGAGAGCACGCAGATTAGAGGGAGAGAGGGCTTCCTGGAGAGGGGAGAGAGAGCAAACTGGTTGAATATTTGCTGCGGAACAAACTGGTTGTCTACATATGCAACTAATTTGTTTGCTTCCATGACTAAAACCCACCTCCAAAAAGTTGTTATCTCCATTACCCATTCTCCATTAGCAGCACCCCATGACCTCATTTGAAGAAATGCTTGAAAACACCCCAACTGAAACAGATACACGCCATCATGTTCAAAATTTCTCTTTCTCACAAGTCTTTTGCAGTAAACCAATACGTCTCCGCCTGCTCGAGCACAGGCTCAATGGACTACGCTATTTCAGTGTTTGCCCATTTGCAAAAGCCCAACATATTTGTTTGGAACTCCATGATCAAAGGCTTTGTGCATTGCCATTCTTATCAAGAGGCCATTTCCATGTACAAGAAGCTCTTGGTTTCCTCGGTTTCAGCAACCAGTTACACTTTCTCTTCTGTGATCAAGGCTTGCACCCAAGTATTGGGCTTGAGCTTAGGGGAATCCATTCATGGCCAAGCTTTGAAATTGGGTTTGAATTCTCACGTCTTTGTTGGAACTGCGCTGATCGATTTGTACTCAAATTGTAGCGAGGTTAGAAATGCTCGTAAGGTGTTTGATGCAATGGAGGCTAGGGATGCAGTCACTTTTACCACGATGATTTCAGGTCATTGCAGGATTGATGAACTGAGTTTTGCTCAACAACTCTTTGATGCCATGCCTGAGAAAACAGCTTCATGGAATGCTCTGATTGATGCTACTCAAAGGTTGGTGATATAGAAAAAGCGGCTTCACTCGTAGATGAAATGAGTCATAAGGATTTGATTTCTTGGACCACCATGATCTCGAAATTTTCGAAAAATGGAAGGTTTAAAGAGGCTATAGCTGTGCCCAAGCTTTGAGCCCCAATGCAGTAACCATGGCTACAGTGATCTCAGCTTGCGCACACCTAGGGGGCCTTGATTTAGGGAGAAAGATACATAACTATGTTAGCTGAAATGGTTTCAATCTTGATGTCGTTATAGGATCCTCTTTGATCGATATGTATGCAAAATGTGGGAGCTTAGAGAAATCCCTTCTGGTTATCTACAAGCTCCATGAGAAGAACCTCTTTTGTTGGAACTCAATGGTCGAGGGGCTCACCATGCATGGACATGGCATGCAAGCCATCAAGCTCTTTGAAAAGATGGAAAGATCAGGAGTTAAACCAAATGGGGTGACCTTTGTTGGGGTTCTCAGTGCTTGTGCCCATATAGGTCTTGTCGAAATAGGCTGAAGATACTTCTATGAGATGACCCATGAACATGGCATTATGCCATGGATTGAGCACTATGGCTGTATGGTCGATCTTTTAGGGCGAGCAAGTCACTTAGAGTAGGCAGTAAAGCTCATGGAAAGCATGGAAATGGAGCCTAATGCAGTGATATTGGGTGCTTTTTTAGGGGGTTGTAAGATTCATGGCAATGTGGGTTTGGCTGAAATTGCAGTCAATAATTTATTAGAGTTAGAGCCTGGTAATAGTGGGTATTATGTGTTATTGGCAAATATTTATGCAGAGGAGAATAGGTGGGATGAGGTTGCGAGAGAGAGGGAGAGAATGGATTCAACTGAAATAATGAGAGATAATAGTAGGACCTTCAGGAGTGTATTCAGAGCCTTGAAGACTTCTGAAGAGGATAGACATTGCATGTGGAAGGAGATTCAGCAAGTGGCGTTAAGTGGTGGAAAGAACTTTGGGAGACACCATGGTATTGGAGGTTAATCATGGATAAACAAGCTAATCAACCTCAAAAAAAGGCAGTTTCTTTTCGAGCACATAACAAGAAAAATGAAGAAGCTGGGCTAATTAAGAAAAATAGCAGCGAAAAGGGGGGAGACCAGAATATTGAGGGAAATATATAGGCGTAAGGAGACTCACATTGAACTCTTCTTTGCTCAGTGCTCAATTCACTGCCTAATCACATGCAGTGTCTTTACTTTGTAAATTGCATATACCCAAGCCTCAGATTTATCTCTCATTATCAACAATATTATTTATCAGAAAGGAAAAATGTTAGTTCTTTAGCTTCCTTTCATAACATCCAAATACTGTTTTTTTTCATATGAACATTCTCAGGCCTAAGAAATGTATCTCATTATCTGCAATGTTAGTCTTTTTTACTTTCTTGTGATCATAATACAACAATAATGTTTTTCTTACTTTTAATCTCTTTAAACACCAGAACGTAAGCACCACACTGTAGTATTCTACTTTGCATCAGATGATCCCTTACATCTTGACTCATTGCTCTATAAATTCGTGCATGGTAACGATGCATTTCGAAACGCATCCTGAAGAACCCAGACGGGAACTTCCACCAAGGGTGAAGGGGAAAGGTGTACTTAGATAGGAGCCTCTTATATATTTGTAATTTAAAGTCTTGTAGTTGGATATGTACAAACTCAGTTTTGCAGACATATTTTGATGTAGTGCCTTGCCCTCAAACTCTATGTATGTGTCACATCTATTTAAGACAATAACCTTTCTTGAATGAATTATATTTCTTACATTTTGCCTTTTTGCTAGTGAATTGGACGTTGAGACAATGTCTTTTCTTGGTGAGTTCTATTTAAGACAGAACCCTAAATACACACTAATTCTTTTTGTGGGAATCATGGATTGCAATTCAAGTTCTTCAAACCGTATTCCCAGGGAATTTTCTTTCGATTCAGGCTTGGTGTTTCCTTTTGATTCAGGGAATTTGGTCTAGGTAGTGAAAATGTTAAAATGGGCAATCAGTAGTAGTTTTAATTACTTCTCATGGTGCTAGAAGCAAATTTGGGTAATTTTCTGAGAGCATGTATGTTTCTCCTGATATCAACTGCTTACCTGATACTATCTGGTGTATGAATTTGGGGGAATTAGAAATGACATTTCTAACTGACATAAATTAAAAACAAAGGCTATCTCCACGCCCATACTATCTGGTGTATGAATTTGGAGTACTGTTATTTTAGTATCAAAAGCTAAGGAGTACTATTGGAAGCGCAAACCATCCATAGAGTTCGTAAGGGGGAGAGAGAGAGAGAGAAACATGCATACACACCCAAAGAGTGATAAAGAGAGTAAGATAGCTAGGTCATGGGATAACGCCAGAGATCTAGCAACATCAATTTGCAACATGGAAAGCTATACAAAAATTCCATTGGAAGCTATTCAACATGCACTTTGAAACTATACAAAATTCTACTTGCAACATGAATTTGCAATATATGGAAGGTATACAAAAATTCCATTTCGAAGCTCCATTCCAAGATAAAGTTTCTCCACTAGTATTGCGATTGCAAAAAATTTCTAAAATGATGAGCTTGATTGTTGAGCATTGGGCTTGCAAAAAATTTCTAAGATGATGAACTTGATTGTTGAGCATTGGGCTTGCAAAAAATTTCTAAGATGACGAGCTCGATTGTTGAGTCTTGCAAAAAATTTCTAAGATGATGAGTTTGAGGGTTGACCATTAGGCTTGTACAAAAAACTCCAGTCTTGTTCTTAAAGTTATGGCCTCTACTTTGACTTCTTGCATTGTTATCCAAACTGATGTAGTCATTGAAAATTTAGGATATACATTAGCTTGGTAACCAATTAAAAATGGAAATGAATTGATAATGGAAAGAACTAAAAGCATTTAACATAAAACACGTGCCATTATATCCTAATACAATTAATATATAACAATAAATCAGTGCAAATGTATTATCGATATACCATCAAAAAAGCGAATGGTGTACATAGCGAAGTCTACATATTGTTTCGCTCAGCTTCAAGCTCCATTGTGGGAATTTCCATGTCGGACCTGCATAAGTTGTAAAATAGTGATTAGTTGATGCATTATTTCAAATTCACAAGACAATATTAAAATATAACATTATTAAATTATAATTGTAAGCATAATTATAATTTTACCTTTGAGTTCTAAAAATTGTGATTAGTTGATGCATTATTTCAAATTCACCATCCCCAGTTGCTATGACATTATCATAACTCACATCCATAAAATTGTCTTTATAGAACTCATCTTGGTCCATCTTTATAGAAAAAACAGTAGTTGGATGTTATGAAAGGAAGTTAAAGAAGTAACATTCAATTAAGTAGTATTAGGTAGTGAATTGAACACTGAGCAAAGAAGAATTCGATTAAGTAATTCATTGAGATAAACAACCACCATTCAATAAAAAAAAAGGCCAATTTAAGGGGGTGCCCTGTTTTTCTTTTTCTTTTCCTTTTTTTTTTTTTCTGGAGCAAGGTTTAAAACTAGTAGCCCACTTTTGCAAATTCGCAACTTGTGTCCCACTCAGTGATCAAAGACAAGAATCCCCTATTAACATGGATCCTTAAAATGACAAAAGAAATACTATCAGTTCAAAGCTTCAACAAAATAAATGCAGGAACTACAGTTTCAAAGGATCCACAAATTAACTAAAAGATATTGCTTGGCCCTGATATTCATAAAAAATGGCAAGGATAATCAGTTCAAAATTCATAAAAGGAATTTTCCCCTCAATAGGTCCAAAAAACAAACATGAAACCATTACCTCACCTTTCAGATTCAAGAAAAACTGGAAGCAATCCTATGCCCAATGGATTCTAAAAATTGCATAGATTAAAAAAACAGCAATCCAAAAATTTCACAAAAAGCACAAGCCCTCCCAAAATGGATTAAAAAAAGTAACATAGAAAACAATACTCAGCTTCAAATTTCCATAAAATGGCATGAAATACTAGGCTCCAAGGCATCTTAAAAATAAAAAAGACACCACTATGCTCAAATTTCACATAAAAAAACAGCTATCACACCTTCATAGCTCTAAATTTTACAAACTTAGTATCATTCAAGATTAAGAGAGATACTAAACAGCTATAAATTTTACAAATAATGCTAGAGAAAGAGCAAAAAGTTATAAATTTCACAAAAAGGTGTTACAGAAATTACTTTAAAACATACGCATAGGCAAACACGCATCTAAAATTAATAAAAAGAAAAATTGAAAAATAGGATATGCAAATTAACGGCGAAGATGAGAGGAGGCCTGGGCCTGACGATGGGCATGACGAAGAGCAAACTCTGTTATCGGGATGACTCTGTTGCCTCCTACCCGCCTTTGGACTCTCTCTAGGATCTTCCTGCCCTAATCCTCTGAAAAAAAATCTCTCGCCAAGAACCTCTCTTTTCCTCTTTTAATGGTGCGTGCTCTCTCTCTCTCCTCTCCAACAAGCCCTCTCTCCCTCTGATCTGCGTGCTCTCTCTCTCTCTCCTCAATTTCAACATCCTCTTGGAAAGGAGCACATCAAAATGCAAAAAACGAGGTGTATGGAACATTCACAGCAAAGAGTAGAGAGATATGATAGCTTATACAAGTGTACATACTGTCTCATCCTCATTCCCATTTGCACCTTCATCACTGAACTCCAAAAGCTCTTTGTCATGACTTGCCAAGAACTTATAGAACTTGGGATACTACAGGTGGGAAAAAGCTAAATGAAAATGGCATAATAATCTCAATAACAAGACTAAGAAAATTCAAATATGTGGGTATTAGGAAATAAAATCTCTATTTAAATAGCGGAAGTCCTAGCCCTGAGTGAAAAATTATGTGTAACAACCTCATCCTCAAATTTGGAACATCAGATAGCAGTACTATATGAGCCACATAGAGGCATCAAATATCGCAATTTCAAAAACACCATTTAACATAATTAATAAATAACTCCAATTGATATATTAACCTTCCATTAATAGTCTGACTGCATATCTTTGTGAATGTGAAGAAGTGCAAATATATATTCACTACAAACATAGAATGTGATTTCAAAATGAGCAACTCTCAGATGGTTCTTGATATAAGAGTATTACATAAGAATAAGAAGAACACCAAAGCATGATGAGAATCTCATTTTTTTTATTCGAAGTATAACGAGTATTTAAGATTCTCAGATAAAATAATGTTGGTGAAAGGTGCCCAACTACCAAGTATAGGTATGAAAATCTTAAGGAGACTAGAAGCTCTAAATACCAAGTAACCAATTGTGAAGACAAGACTAGAGGACATCATTAGAAGTTTGTACTAGTGTCAAGTTTCCTAGGGGGCAAACTAGGCGTGCTCGTTAGATCCCCATAAATAGCGGTGTTAAACTAGTTGGTTGTTGTAGTAGTTGAGAAGATCTTAGTCGTAACCATTTGCAATATGGACAGAGTAGACACCCTATTATACCAGCTAAATAGATCTTCCTACTTCCAGTCAACCTTCCTAGAGCCATCATACTTCTTGGTGTTCAAAAATTAATTGCCTCGGTAAATACTACAATCAACCAATATCGCTTTCATCTTTCATGATTTAAATATTCATCATAGAACAGAGAAACATATATGGAAAATTGGAGGGAAAATTAAAATAAGACACCACAGTGAAACTAAAACAAAGACAACCAAATACAAAAATAGGATTACAAAACTGATAAAATGTAGAATTGATAGAAATACAGAATTCTTTTCCATAAGTTTACACAAATTGCATTCTTCCCTGTGAGTAAAAGTTCCTCCTCAAAACTACCTTCAAGTTTTAGTAAATATTAATCATACATAACGTCAACAACCACATCCATATATTATTCACGAATGTTGTACTTCATGGGAAATGCTTATGCAAAAGTACACAATACATTGTTTTACGAACCAAAGATGATCATTTTAAGCAATTCAAGTTCAAAAAACTCACTTTTTCTTTCAGTCTCTCTAATTGTTTCTTGTGTTCTTCAGATTCAGATTGTGATTTCTTGGAAATCTTCCCTTTTCTAGCCTTATCTTCCCTTTTCTAGCCTTACTTTTATGTGCACAAAAAAACCCAATTCAATTTAACTCTACTGAGTTCAAACAATGCCATTTCCAGTTTGACAAGAGTGCAAATAAAAAGATAAAAATTTTGATAGAGGAAGTTCAAGAAAAGGAATACTTAACCCAATTTTGGTGAAGAGAAATGGTATTCCTCCCCATCCTATTAAAAGAGAGAAACCCAATACTTTTAATGGATATTAAGACAAAGGAAATAAGCACGCAAGCATAGAGACAGAAGAGGAGTAAGAAGAACATGACAATGGTATTTAACTATTTATTCTTTACATGCTATCAAGAGAGAGACATCCAATCAATTTCAGAGATATTCAACCAGAAGCATAGCTTTAGAAAGTGGACCACCCAACGCCTAGGTGGTCCAGAAGGCTTGGGCAAAGTACGCAAGCACAGAGACAAAAGAGAAGTAAGAAGAACATGGCAATAGATCAATTTCAGAGATATTCAATCAGAAGCACAGTTTTAAAAAGAGGACGGCCTAGCGCCTAGGCGGTCCAGAAGGCCTGGGCGCATCGCCTAGGCCTAGGCGGCCAAACTAGGCGGATATCCCTGGGCTCTCGCCTAGGCGCCTGGGAATCCGCTTAGGGGTCCGCCTGAACGTGCCTAGGCGGCTGCTTGGGTCCTGCGCCCCGCCTAGGGGTGTAAATGCAACTTTTTAAGGGTATTTTTGGGTTATTTTTTTAATACTAAAGGGGAAAAATTGTGGGTTTTAAGTTCATTTGAAATCCAAAACCCATTAGAGGCTGTTTTAGAGATAGAAAACCCAAAAAAAAAATTTCTACTAAGCTGCCAAGGTTTTGGGCACTGGGCAGCTTGGACCCCATGACCGCCTAGCACTTTTTGAAACACTGACTAGAAGGCAATAAACACATAAGCAGAGAGAGATTCTTCCTCATCCTATTAAGAGATAACCCCAAAATTTTTCAAAAAATTTAAACTAGAAGGCAGCAGAGATAGGGAGAGCAAGCGAGCGAGCGAGAGAGAGAGAGAGAGAGAGAGAGAGAGAGTTTCCAATCAAACTTATCCAAAAATAGAAAATAAGGAGAAAAATACCATAGAGTATATATCTTCTTCATCAAATTGGGGCTTTCCATTGTTTTGGAGGTCATAGCGCATCGGTCCTTTAACCTGTCAAACCTTTTTCTTTAAAAAACGAGGGTTTATCATTCAAGTTGAAATGGGTAAAAGGCAAAATACCCTTGAAATGGGGTGGCAACGGGTCGGAATGGGTCTCTGTTGATAGGGGTGGCAATGGATCCGTACCCGACTTAGGACCCGCCTGGTATACCCGTTCGGGTTTGGGTATGAATCCAAAATTTGGACTCGATAGGTCGGGTCTAGGTCCAAAACCTGGACACGAGTATTATTCGAGTCTGGGTCTGAGTCCGGGTTCAGTTGGACTTGACCCTTACCTGTAAATTGTTGGAGATAAAATACTTCGAGCCCTATTCGTTTGGATGTATTAAGGATCATATACGATAAAAACTCATAATCATTTTTAACTATTAAACGACAAATAAGAGGGCTTGAAATCTAACAATCGGTGATTGTGACCTTTTGCCAATAATTTGGGTATATGATGGCAAAGAAAGGGCAAAAAACAAAAAAAAGAAGCTCATAGTGAGGCTGGCAATGGACACGATCAACCTGGGACCCGACGGGTACAGGTATGGGTCCAACTTTTAGACCCGATGGGTCGGGTCCGGGTTCGGGTCCAAAACGTGGACCCGAATACATCCGGTCTGTGTTCGAGTCTGAGTCCAAATCCTAGACCCAAATACATTCGGGTCTGGGTCTGGGTCCGGGTCCGGATCCGGGTCCAGCTGGACCCGACCCATACCTGACTCGTTGCCACCCCTATCTGTCGACCAGGTTTTATATGGACCCGAGCAGCCCGGACCTGAGTATAGAAATTAATAAAATAAATATTACATAATTTATTTTTATATTTTTTATATGGGGTCTTAGGCCTAGACCCCTTCCGACCTAATAGAGTTCATTTTAAACCCGAAACCGGACCCGACCCAGTTTGAGTTTGAGTATTGGGACCTAGACCCAACCTGCTGGGTCCAAAACATGGACTCAAACCGATAACTGAGTTGGGTCAACGAGCTGAGTCAACAAGTTGGCCCATCCCAACCACCACCTCTATAATGAAATAATGGGAAACGGGATCTTGGAACAAAGGTAGGGGTGGCAACAGTCGGGTTCGATTGGATCCAAACCGGAACCTAAAGTATTCGGGTTTGGGTCTGATTTGGCTAGTGTTTTGTTTGTGAATTTTCTTTTGAATCTATTGGTTGAGAAATGAGGTGTATCAGCCGGTAATATTATTATTTATTATATTATGGGAAAGTATAGAATGAGACTCGTTACATTTGGTACAAGGTGAGATATTAATCTTGACCATTGGATGTGAAATTGGGTGGCTGTAATTATTCTATTGACCTTGCTCAAACTTCAATGTAATTTTCTCGAACGTAGTGACACATCCAAGCTATCAAACTTCACATCGGATAGTTGTAAGTAATTGTGACTACCTTATATCAAAGGTAAATGGTACAATCCCTTATATTATTAGTATTGAACGTCACAAGATTACTTTATATATATATCAGGAACTTAAAGGGTTTATCTTTTTAAAGGATGCGGTTAAAGACTCACATGAAATGGAGGCTCCTTAATAATTTTTTTTTGAAATAAAATTTGATCCTAATTTTTAGGGAATATATAATCTTTAATATGGAGATTATTAATCTGTAAAAATAAATAAATTTTAAAAACTAGAAATGATATGTTTTGGCGAGAATATTTGAACTGTTGATTATACTTTTTCTTTGGAGGACTATTACTTAAGGGATTTTGTTTTGGTTGATGGTGTAGATCTCTGGCCCACACAGTAACAGCTGCTAGCTTGGCCGCACCAAACAATTTTCTCTTTTTAAATAGCGGTTTTACTTCCTTATAAATAATTAGCTGAAAACGATATAGTTTTAGCTAGAAATAACTAAAAATAACTAGAAATTTATGTAAAAGGTTATTTTGGGATTTGTGTTAGATTACTTAAAAGGGTATGGTTTGCATAAGGTTGCAACCTCGAATAATGAAAATTAGGTGTACCACCAAATTTTATTGTAAGATGTAATATTTTCTCTCTCTCGCTCTCTCTCTCTCTGCCCAAATCCAACTCTCTTCAAGCCTTTCGCTTTCCTGATTTTGAGTTTCTCTAACTACAATTTTCTCTCTACAAATGTACACAAATATATACCCTTCAAAGCCTTCCAGGTATACCTATTACGAGTCCGAGTCTATGGTTTGGACCTAGCAGGTGGGTTCAGGTTCCAATGCTCAAACTCAAATTGGGTCAAGTCCAGTTTCAGGTTTAGTTTGGACCATATTAAGTCGGTTCGGGATCTAGGCCTCAATATACAACATATAAAAATATAAAAATATAAATTTTGTAATACTTATTTTTTTTATTTTCTAGACTTGGGTCCTGACTTACTGTGTCCATATAAAACCTAGTCGACTGAGACTCATCCTGACCCATTGCCCCCCCTATTTCAAAGGTATTTTCATCTTTTTACCCATTTCAACTAAGTGAGAAATCCTCGTTTCAAAGAGAAGGGTTTGACAGGTTACAAGACCGGTCCGCCATGATCTCTGAAACAATGGCGAGCCCCCAATTTGATGAAGAAATATATTCTATAGTATTTTTCTCATTATTTTCTATTTTTAATATTTTTAATTCATTTTAGTTGGAAATCTTTCTCTCTCTCTCTCTCTCTCTCGCTAGTGCCTTTTGGTTTTATTGTTTTGAAAATTGTTGCGGTTGTCTCTCTTCCTCATCTAATCTTTCTCTCCCTCTCTCTAGTGCCTTTTGGTTTTATTGTTTTGAAAATTGTTGTGGTTGTCTCTCTTGCTCGGATGAGGAAGAATCTCTCTCTCTCTCTCTTTGCTCAATGCTTATTGCGTTCTGGTTGAATATATCTGAAATTGATTGGATTTCTCTCTCTTGATAAATCTTGTAAAGAATAAACAGTTAAATACCATTGTCATGTTCTTCTTACTCCTCTTCTGTCTCTGTGCTTATGTGCTTATTTCCTTTGTGTTAATATCAATTAAAATTATTGGGTTTCTCTCTCTTAACAGGATGGTGATGAATACCTTTTCTCTTCACTAAAATTGGGTAAGTATTTATTGTCCAGAACTTCCTTTATCAAAAATTTTATCTTATTATTTGTACTCTTGTCAAACTAGAAACGACATTGTTTGAACTCAGCAGAGTTAAATTGAATTGGGATTTTTTGTGCAGATAAAAGTGAGGCTAGAAAGGGGAAGACTTCGAAGAAATCACGATCTGAATCTGAAGAACACAAGAAACAATTAGAGAGACCGAAAGAAAAAGTGAGTTTTCTGAATGTGAATTGCTTAAAATTATCATCTTTGGTTTGTAAAACAATGTATTGTGTGCTTTTGCATGAGTATTCCCCATGAAGTACAAAAATTGTAAGTAATATATGGATGTGGTTGTTGATGTTGTGTATGATTAATATTACTAAAACTTAAAGATACTTCTGAGGAGAATTTAGGAACTTTTACTCACAAGGAAGAATGCAATTTGGGTAAACTTATGGAAAAGAATTGTGTATTTGTATCAATTCTACATTTTGTTAGTTTTTTAATCTTAGTTTTTTATTTGGTTATCTTTGTTTAAGTTTTGGCTGTGTCTTATTTTAATCTTCCCTCTAATTTTCCAAATATATTTCTCTGTTCTATGATGAATATTTTGATCATGAGAGATTAAAGGCATCTTGGTTGGTTGTGGTTTTTATCGAGGCAATTAATTTTTAAACACTAGGAAGTATGATGGCTTTATAAAGGTTTACTGGAAGTAGGGAGATCTATTTCGCTGGTATACTAGGGTGTCTACTCTATCTATATTGCAGATGGTTACGACTAAGATCTTCTCAACTCCTACAACAAAAAACTAGTTTAACACCGCTACTTATGGGGGTCTAACAAGCACTCCTCGTTTGTTCCCTAGGAAACTTGACACTAGTACTGACTTCTAATGAGGTCCTCTAGTCTTCTATTCGCAATTGGTTACTCGGTATTTGCGCTTTTAGTCTCCTCAAGATTTTCAAACCTATACTTGGTGTTGCGACCAACATTAACATATATGGGCAACCCATTTTATAAGAGAATCTTAAGTAGTCGGATTAAAAAAATGAAATTCTCATCATGCTTTGGTGTTCTTCTTATTCTTATGTATATGCCTATTTCAGGGAAACACAAGATAATCGAGTATCATGAACCATCTGAGAGTTGCTCATTCTGAAATTACATTTATGTTTATAGTGAATATATATTTGCACGTCTTCACTTTCACAAAGATATGCAATCGGACTATGAATGGAAGGTTAATATATCAGTTGGAGTTATTTATTAATTCTGTTATATGGTGTTTTTGAAATTGCAATATTTGATTCCTCTGTGTGGCTCATATTGTACTGCTGTCTGATGTTCCATATTTGAAGATGAGGTTGTTGCACTCATAATTTTTCACTCAGTATTAGGACTTCCGCTATTTAAATAGATACCCACATATTTGAATTTTTTTTAGTCTTGTTAGTGAGATTATTATGCCATTTTCATTTAGCTTGTTCCCACCTATAGGATCTGGAGTTCTATAAGTTCTTGGCAAGTCATGACAAAGAGCTTTTGGAGTGAAGATGCAGATGGGGATGTGGATGAGACAGGTTTTACATTTGTATAAGCTATCGTTGCTCTCTACTCTTTGCTGTGAATGTTCTATACAATTCGTTTTTGCATTTTGATGTGTTCCTTACCAGGAGGATGCTGAAATATATGAAGTCAGTCAACAGTTTGGAGCACTTGCAGAAATGGCTGAGAAACCATCTGTCAAGGTTATCACCACTGCAATGGTTGATTCTTGGTGTAAATCTATTCAGGAAGAGAAAAGTATAAGACCTCTTCGTTTGCTCATTCAAGCTTCAGATCTGCTTGCCATTATGGTGATGGCGATGATGACTCTTCCTCAAAGCTTCGCATCATGTTGAGCAGCGTATTCAATAAAATAATGGTGTTTGTTCTGAGTGAGATTGATAGCATTTTTCGATCAGTTTTTATACTTCCTAGTTCGGGTGGGAAGAAGGAGACCATTGTAGAATTGATGATTCAAAAGGCTTGGAAGAGTCATCGATATTTAGTGAAATCATTATCTTGGAAATGCCCTTCATGTACTGAACCCAATGACGAATGGGCAGATGATCTTGTTCACATTTAAGCATCTCAGACATTCAGCCATATTCTTGGCAGCATTTCCAAACCTCTTGAGGAAGTATATTAAGGTAATGCAGATTTTGTAGTTAATAGAGCATTTAATAGAGTAGACTGGTGGACTAGGATTCATGTTGTTGAACCCAAATTATTGAGAAAAGGCAATGATGATGATGATGAGATTTCGTAGTTAACTTTTTGGAATGGAGTTGATAAATATAAAAATATCTTGATTGCTATTGTCTCTTACATATCTTTTGCTGATGCAGATTTCATAGTTACTATGAGCTAGAATAATTGCTACAAACATTATATTTTCTTTGGTCAATTTGCTATTCAAATTTTAAACTTTAGAAATTTAACACCATTGAATGTGCCCCGTAGTGATTTGTTTTGCTATGATATTAAGTGATATCATGGATCAGGTTGTCTATCTTGTGCCGTGTTGCCATGCAATGAGAGGAGCTAATATGCGTGAGAAATTATCTTTCATGGAGATAGTCCTGGTGATTATTTTGTTTGTTTTTCATTTTTTTAGGAATTAAATGTGGGGATTCTCACATAGTTGGTGTCTCTTTTCTGCCCACATGAGCTTCTTCATCTGGTCTTTTGTTTCTTTTTCCTTTATCTTCTTTCTTATTTTCTTTTTTCGGTTATGTTTCTCTGGTTTTTATGCTAATTTCATTTTTAATCTATCCATCCTACTTGACCATTAAAAAATGCAAATGTCTTACAGAGAGTTTCCCCTTGTAGAACCTATGCAGTGGATGGAGCTATATTTCTTTATGTAACAAGTTGCCATCGTTAGGGTATGGGGATATGCCCCATTTTGATAGTTTCCTTTCTTTTTCAGTGATCTAATTTTCTCTCATTTAGTAGTAGGATGATAAACGAAGAAATATGGTTATCCCTCTGACTAATACAGATCTACCCAAAGAAAACCTAATTTTCTATCACGACAGGTGCAACAGTTCAAAACCCAAACATTTGGAGGATGAAGTTCAAAGCCCGAACATTTGGAGCATGAACAAGTGCAGGCTCAAAAGTTCAAACCTGAACATTTGGAGCATGAACTAGTGCAGAACACCGATGCGGACTTGGTCTCAGAGTTGGAGCTCTCTTCAGATGAAGAAGAAAACACGCCAGAGCTCGAACCACGCCTTGCCTTGAAGAGCCAGAAGACAAGATCACTCCAAGAAATGAAAATCTGAGTCCCTAATTTCCAAGCAAAAATTTCGAAATCTGGGGTAGCTTTTGATTGTCTTTTCATTTGTCTGATTTATGTCTAATTTACGTCTAAAGTTCCTTCTGGCTCATTATTAATTTCCCAAGCTGTACTTATAATTGTAGTAGTCCATTTGGTTGATTCACTGTATTGGTGTTCGTTTTAAGTCGTTATAGTGTGGGTTAGTTGTGTAGGTTTGTTGGTTGATTTGTTTTTTTAAATCCTTTGGTTGGATCTCTCTACAAGGTCTCCCCTAGTTAGATTTGAAATCAGGCTACTAGATCACCTAGCTGTGAGATGTAAAGTCGGGTGCTTATGAATACATCATTAATTGTGCGAATAAACTTTTCTCAAATTTTGTGTGGAGAAAAGGCATACCTCTGATTTCACATCTACAAGGGGGGAAGACAATGACTTCCATATATCAAAGATAAATAGCCCTTTGCTATAGGTATCTCAACATGTTTAACTGCAAATTAAAATTGATGATGATGCAAGGTTCAAAGCTCTATAATTAGATTTTATGGATGACAATGGGCCGGCAGCCTACCTTTGAAATACTAGGGTCTGAGCCACAAAATGTGGCCAGACAGTTGGAGGCCTGTGTGAGGGCCAAGGCCATAGTAGGGCTAACCCGGCCAAACTCCATTTTTTTCCATTCCTTTTTTTTTTTTAATCTATTGGGATAGGCACTGCCTGGCCTGAACATGTCTAGGCCCCTTGAGCCCAATGTGGATGGGCCTTTGTCCATCCTTAGCCTGGCCCATTGTTTGTCCTAGATACTATGTAGGAGTTTATTTGGGAATTGGACTTCAGCTTAGTTGTTTTAGTTGTTGGTGATTCCTAATTGATGATTCCCAAGTTCAATTCCTAGAGCTGAATCAAAAAAGAAAAATAAGTAGATCAGTAATAGACAAAAGATTGAGAAATAGAAGAGAGCATGTGGAAAAAAGGAGAAAACTAAGGCTTTAAGATTTGGATTGGAAATCACCCAACCAGATTGGGAATCAAGTGGAAACCAACCTAGTTTGTAATTGAAATTATGAATCAGACTGGTTCCCACAGATTCATTTGGTTCCCCGAGGAAACCGGCAGGTTTCATGTGGAATCTAGATCGACTGGTTCTCATGATCTATATTTTTTTTGTTGGAAATTTTGTCAAATTACCATGAGAGATGAACAAGTTAACTCTTTGCCTGTATCTTTTTATTCCTTTTTAAAATACACATGAAAACATGGTCGTGTGTTGGAAATGGGCAAAATATATTTTATATTTGGGTATTTAGATAATTTGCCATATTTTATTATGCTTTCTATTTAAATTTTAAATTTTTGCTTTTTTATTGATCAATTCTCACATATGAAAATTGGTTGGATCCTGGATGCCCGGTTCACCATTTGTTCTAACTCTTTAAAGACAAGTAGCGCTACCCTTATCATGGGAGTAGGTGTAGGCTTGTGGAGAATGATCGAGTCTAGAAAATCATTAGATTTTGAGCCCCATCAGTGGGGCCCTCCTAGCCATTTTCTTTTGGTGTTCTTGATCTCAAGATGATGTATGAGCCAGTTTTTCCTTTTGGAAAAAAGAAAAAAAGTTTCAAATCAATTTATGATTTTGTAAAAATCATTTGTAACAATCTTAAAAAACAAAAAAATAAACTAAATGTTGCAAATTTTGATTTAAAGATTATGGCCCCTTTGATTGTAGCCCCACCAATCCACAGTGATCTTCTTCAATTATCCACAGTGTCTTCTTTCAATTTTAAGAAAATTGTGCTGATGTCCTCCAAAATATCCCTTATTAGGAAAAAGTTTATATAGAGCTAAGGCTGAAGTTGTTATGTTGCCCAAATATCCTCAAATTGATCATCTTGACATCAAGATGCATTGACATTAGACAAATGGATTTCAATTTTTGTAAATATTGTATCTTGTAATGTATTTTTGGATCGGCAATTTTCAAAATTTCTAAGTTTTCATAGATCGGCTTGATCTATACTATTTTTGAAGCTTTAAATTTTATAATTAAAGATGAAAATATATTTTAAGGTCATCACAAAGATTTCCAGTATTGAAACCATATTTCTCAACACTATGTGAAAGTGTGATTTACTTTGATTGTTTAGAGCTTCGGCTCTATACAAATCACATTCTTTTTGTTGAATTATGAGGTGACTTTTTACTTATTTTGATTGGGTTGCTGTCGTATCAAACCATTATCCTATAAAAAAAGGTAAAATTCTTACTTATTTCGGCCACGTATTATAAAGTTGGGTTATATTACGGTGCTCACCCTATGGAATAATTTATCATCATACTTTATAATTTTTGATACTTTTATATCATTGTTTTGTACGTAGAGTATTGTTTTAATAAGGGTATTTTTTTATCATTAGGAGGGATATGATGTCATCCACATAAGGTGTGACATCAACTACATGAAGCATACTAGTGGTATTTAATGCTACATGTGGGTGATGTCACACTCTATGTAGATGGCATCACATCTCTCCTAATTACTAAAAATGTCTTTAAAATCTATATACAAAACAAGGGTATATGTATACAAATTTTGTTGAGTACAATAATGAATTACTTCATAGTGTGAGCACCCTAACATAACCCTATAAAACATAACTCAAGTTGGTTTTATAGATTAGAAAATGGTGCAATTTTATAGGAAAATGGTTTGATAGGGTTGCAGCCCTATCAAAATAAGTAAATCATCACCTCATAATTCATCAAAAATTACAATTCAAACATTGGAAAACCTTTACATTGATAATTTTGGATTGAACATATTAGTTGTGAAAACAAAAAGGTTTTAAACTCTAAAAAGTGTGTATATTAACAAATTATCTAGACCATCCATTTCACCCTAAAATTAGGTGTTCATAGACCCGTAAGATCTTTATCAGTTTTTTAGTTTCAAATTTATTATCGGTGTTGGAAATTGATTTAAATCCATCATGTGTATTACCGTTATTGAAAGTGCTTTCTAGACAAGGATTTGAGGTGAGGCTTTATTTTGTTTTCATAAAGCGCATGCCCTAGAGAAACTTTATCCTTTCTTTATTTACTAAAGACATAGGCATTCTATAAAACGAAAAAGTTTATATAGAGTCAATGCTCTAAACAATCAGAGCCCCCTCAAAAATTTCACTAAAAGAGGTTGTTTTGATGCTCAAATATCTTCAAATTGATCATCTCAACATCAAGATGCATGGACATGAAAAAAAAATGGATTTCAAGTTTTGCAAACAATTCGCTTTGTAACACATTTTTAGACCTTCAATTGTTAATATTTTCAAGCTTTCATAGTTATGCTCAAGCTACTCTATTTTTTAAACTTAAATTTTATAATTAAAAATGAAAATATATTTTAAGGCTATCACATATTTTCATTATTGAAATATTTAAAGGTGCGTTTTATTGTGATTGGTTAGAGCCTCGGCTCTATACAAACCGCACCCTTTATAAAAGTTGTATCCTAATATCGAATTCTGGAGGGAAACGAACTTAAATTATTCTTTTTACATCCACCAAACCATCTCAATGGCTGTTGATGACGGATAGCGGTTGCTAAAATGGATGGTCAAGATCAAATAATTATTTTGCACTACGTGATCTGGACCGTCAGATGCGCGTCTACCTTCTCTTTCCACCAACCCAACGCATCCATGGCGAACTAGAAAGGCTAGGTTTTGCTCTGTGTTTTTGCCCCTCCGTAGCTAGGGTTGATTCAACCGGTTTCCCCGACTTCTGTAAATTAGGGTTTTGGAAGCCATGGAAGAGGTTGAGAACAAGCAAGTGATCTTTAGGAACTTCATCACTGGATTGCCCAAAGAGACGGACATGGAATTAAGGACTTTGAAGCTTTCATTGAAAGTTGCAGAGGATTCGAGAGCTTTGATTGTGAAGAATCTGTACCTCTCTTGTAATCCTTACATGAGAGGAAGTATGAAAGAATTTTATGAGTCTTACATTCCTCCATTTTAGCCTGGAACGGTTAGGCCTCTGCTTCTC